GCAACTAAAAAGGAGGATAAATTTTACCACCTCTGACGCTATCTCCACCCATCACTCCAAATATCTCGAGAGCGGATCAAAGGACAGAGCTTTTTCCAGGGTGCTCTCTCTCTCTCTCTCTCTCTCACACAGTTTCTGCAAGAAAGGGCTAGAGCTTCTGAAGAATCATTCTGCAATTTAATTGTTTTACCCTTTTAACAAAAACAAATAGTAATTAGAATGACTTCGTACCCAATTTTATTGAGAAGGAAAAAACAATATTATTAGAGGATATAGGTTGCTGTAAGTTTGTTATGTTTTCAATTTTTAAATTTGTATTTTGAATTTCATTTTCCTTCTTTAGTTTCTTGTATATAAAGTTATATGTGGTTGAAGATTTGAATGAGAATGAGAGAAAAATATCTGATTCTCAATAAATCCGAGATAATTAAACGAAAAAAAATAACCCTCGTAACCTTATCTATATACGACTTAATCAAATGAAAGAAATGAATAATTCTTAAATAAATCAACCTGGTCATACCAAAAAAAAGAAGAAGAAACATATGAAAACTGTAAGGTCAGATCATAACCAGCTAAGTGTCCATTTTACTTGGAAGAATACTCGTCAGTCCAAAATATCCGCTAGACGTGGTGAAAATTTTGGCTAAAAAGCCGAATCGAATATTGCCTGAAACGAATTCGATATATAGATCGAATGCTTATAATCTCTTTGAAACCGAATACAAACAAAAACGAATAAAAGTCGCCGAAAATTTCTTTCAATAAAAAAAACTACATAAACTGAACCAAACCAAATCAAATAGTTATAATCTTTCTAAAACCCACATAACCAGAACCGAACCGAAACCCACAAACACCTATCCGAAACAAAAGTAAACACAATCTAAGAAAATCAGACAACAAATACCAACATAGTGTGTGTGTGTGTGTGTGTATAAACCTATCTTGATGTCGTGTGTAGAACACAAAGCCAGTATTATCTCAAGTACCTTGACAGACACAGAGAGAGAGAGAGAGAGAGAGAGAGAGAGAGAGAGAGAGAGAGAGAGAGAGAGAGATCCGTAGTGAAGATCAGGGCTCGACGATGATCTTTCCGGTGGCATGACCATCGATACTCTTAGCCCAAGCATCTTCCGCTTTGCTCAGATTATGTTTCGAGTCTATCACCGTCTTTATCTTCCCTTCTTTCACCAGATTCACCATAAATTCCAGATTCTCCGCTTTCGGCATCAACAGCAGCGGAATCAGTTGCTTCTTCGACATCGTTATCTTCCTCACCGCGTACGTCCACATCGCCCTCGGCCCGGGCGTGATGTCTATCACCTTCCCATTCTCCGACAAATTCGGCTCGAACGTCGAGAACGGGATCCCCATCGCGCAGTGGATCACCGCGTCGTATTTCTTACCCGACGGGCTCTTCAGGGCAGCTCCCTCGGGTGTTCTGTAGTCGAGGACCTCGTCCGCTCCCAAGGATTTGACTAGCTCAATGTTCCGGGCTCCACAAGTGGCCGTTACATGGGCGTTCCCGAGTTTCGCGAGCTGGACAGCGTAGTGGCCGACCCCACCGGATGCAGCCGTGACCAGGATGTTCGCCTGCTTGTCCGAGGAGGAGGTGGTACCGTCGAGTTTTAGCCCCGCGGGTTGAGTTAGAGCCTGGAGAGCCGTGAGACCCGCGACAGGTAAAGCTGCCGCTTCAGGTGCCGACACTTGTTGAGGCCTGGAAACAGTTAGCTTTTCGCTCGCAACAGCGTATTCGGCAAATCCTCCTCCGGTCTTCCATCGATGAAAAACAAAGATAAGTGGAAAAAACCAACTTCTTGTAATCCAACAAGAAAAAAAAAATCCGATAGGCAAAAAACTTACCAAGTGGTTGAGAACCGCAACAACTTTGTCACCGGCCTTGAATTTCTTGACTCCAGGTCCAGCCTCGACAACTTCTCCGGCAACATCAGTAGCTGTCCGACCAAAATGTGAAAAAGATGAAGAAAATAACAGCATAATGCCATCGAATTGCTCTACAAACGCATCAACAACCTACAAGATAAATTTTCAGAGACCCTCTACGCAAAATAACAGTCACTCATATATAATTAGCTCGACAAGTTTTCAGATGACGCCTCTACATGTTTAGAAGAGTACAAGGCTATACAAGTATGAATCTTTGCATAAAAGCAATGTCAGAAATCAAACTCCATAAAAGTAATTATGATATTAATCCTCGAAACATTCAAAATACCGGGAATGCAGGGGAACTTGCGGGGTAGAAAAGGGCGGAGTAATCCTTTTTGAATCTTCCAATCAACGGGATTCAAACTAGTGGCTTCGAGTTTCAACAAAACCTCGTCGGTCTTAGGCGACGGAACTGGAACTTGGACATGCTGTAAACACATCATATAGGCAAAGGTAAGCACATCAAAAGGCCGACATGAAAATGCACGCGAGAACGAAAATAGGCGTTAGTTTCCTGAAACTCAGCATTAAACCCACTTCATAGTATATGCATCTGGGCATGTATCGGTGATTCAGTCCCACTTCCAGAACTTAATCAGCGTATCTTACTGGCATAACTTTCCTTTTCACCACCAAACTCAATTATATACAATCCAAATAAAATGTTCATGATTACTCGGTTCTATAATTCAAGTAAACCCCTGGAATTCATCTTCCCTCTCTATGCGGGTAAGCGTCCACCACAAAACCCCGCTTCGTACTAACCATGGATCCATTAGCGAACGATGATGTGAACTTTTAATCAATTTATCAAAATGATGCACCATTCCATGGGGGAAATTCGCGAAAAATCGCTTCGAAATAAGAAGTGGGTGCTCGGTAATCGCATATGTTGCATGCTTAAACACACAGGCATTCGTACGTATACATACACGTACATCACCCCGAAAACTACAGTATCTCCTGAAACACATTCGACGTGCGATTAATCTCCGTACGATGCGATCAATCGCAGAAAATCAAACAACAAAATGCAAAGAGATCATGAAAATCAAACAACAAAATGACCAAAAAACAGAAAACGACAACGAAATGACAGAACAACCAAAGAGAGATCCGTTCACCTTCAAGCCAGCGGCTCCGCCGCCATAACTGTCATATTGAAGGGCGTGCATGAGTTTTCCGGCCATCGGAGCAGAGATTTCTCGTCGGTGGAGATTTCCAGTTCTGGGAAAACGGCGATATCTTTCCCCTTGTATTGGAATGAACGAGTGGTTTATACTGAAAATACGCGTCGGGGGAGCAAGCATATTAAATGACATGTATGCCCTCTTCCTTCACTCTACGATCATGCAATCGCGGGGGTATAACCGGAATTGAGTAAAAGAGTATGTAGGTTTGCCACGTGGCAACGGTTACGCGTCGGGCCATCAGGCTTCGTACTCTGCATTTCGCTTGTTATGGCAATCCGAAAAATCATCTCATATTTGAATAGGATTAAACAGAAAAAAATCAAATATTTAAACCGGAATCCGATTCTCCTTAAATTATCACAGTTTTAAAAAATTACATAAAATATTTGAACTTTAATCCTCCATAAATATATAAATTATTTTTTATATCAATACATCAATCAATTAAATTTTTTTATCTCTTTTGTAAAAATCAGATATTCAACAATTTTAGAATATTTGAACCTAAATCTAGCAAATAAAGAAATTTATTATTCAGTGCCACCCACCCACAGTGCCACTGCCAATCAATGCTTTGGAATACAATTACACAAAACGTTGCAGGAAGAAAAAATATGTAAAACGTTGAGCCAAATGTTGGTAATATTTTCATTACATTTAGTATTTAAATCCTGTTTTCATAAAAGAATTATAGGTTTTGATTTAAATATTATTTTTTTAAATAGCATATATTATATATTACATTATAATGTTACCAACAAGTAACGTTAACAATCTAAGAAAAAGAAATTTAATTAATCACATTGGAATTTAAAATATTTTGTACAGAAAAAATCTTACATGAAGTATAAAAAACATTCAATGACATTCAACGAAAGAAAGTGATTTAATCAAAGCTTCGCCTAAGCGAAACAAGAACATTTAATGACATACGAAAAATGCAAAGTATGAAAGAGACAATAAATATGCAAAAAAAAAAATGGTTTGATTGGTTAAATTTAAATTTATAGAAATATAATTTAAAATTAGTTTCAATTAATTTAAATCTCTCGAATTATTTTATAAAATATCTAAATATTATTCATTTAAATTCGATATGATTTTACACGTTCTTAATCTCTTGTACAATGAAAATCCAAATAAAAGAAGGGGGGAAAAAAGTCAATGGGCCAACCCCTCCTTGTAAAGGCCCAATATCGTAAAGAATAATTCTTCTGACTTTTGTTCAAGGAACTCTTCTTCAGCCTTCTTTTTATTTAATTTTTCCAAGTATTGATTGATCAAATTCAATATCATGGAACTTTATCAATTTTGGTGTAGGATTATTTTCTATAAATATATATTGATCTTCATTTTTCTTTTTTATTTTCAGATAAAAGTAATTTTATGGTGATATTTACAATGAAAATCCAAATAAAAGAAGAAAAAAAGGTCAATGGGCCAACCCCGGCTTATAAAGGCCCAACAACATGGACGAATAGTTAATTCTTCGATGTATATAAAAATTCTTCTTCAGCCATGATTTTGATTTTATTTTTCCAAGTATTGATTGATCAATTCAATCTAATCGAATTATATCATTTATTGTGTAGATTATTATATATAAATATAAATCTATCATCATTTTTCTTTTCTTTCGGATGAAAGTATTTTCATGATGATATTTTCAGCATTTTGTATAAAATAACACATAAAATAGAAAATCATATAATTTTATAAAATCAATTAATCGAATAATCCGAGTAAAATAAAAGGATTGAATAAATTTTTAATTTCCTAAAAAATGGAAGATGCTTAGATACATATTTTTATGGAACAACAAATCTAATAAAACAATAATGATATCGAAACCCCAAATATCCACATAATCGCAATCGTATAGAAACCAAAACAAAACAATATTATAAATTCTACAACAACCACTCAAGACTTAGATTTATTTAGATTAATGTCTAAAACATGAGCAATTTGTACCATCCAAACAACTATAACAAGTTTTTCACAAAACATGAATGAAATATAAACATATCCTTATAAAACATTTTTATTTATGAATGCTTTAACATAAAAAAAATTTACAATATAGTTTTTCATTAAATCCATTTCAATAGAAACTTCAAGAAGGCATTTCTATAGTTATCCCACAACTCACTCGCAACAACCGAAACCATGTCTAAGAACCCTTTGAAAATCTTCGGACAGACTTCCAACAGATAGTTAAATACGGGCATCACCTTCTCGACCATGTCACTGATCTTAGGACAGATCCCACCCGACGTTCCCGCCGCGATCCGTTCTTTTATCCGATCTAACGCCATCGCAACGGCCTCATCGATCACATCGGCTGCTAATTTGCACAATTTCGGGAGATGGGTCTTGATCATCTCTCGTGTAAACTCGATCAATGTGTTTATAATTGCACCCGGGATCTTGAATGTGTGAAACACTAACACGAGCGAAAAAGCTGCCACGTGGAATATTAGACAGGAGATTAGATTACATAATATCCGTATTATGGAGAAGATTAAGTTTGCTAATCCAACTATCATTGTTAAGAAGAAGAAGAAGAAGAAGAAGTTATGAAGAATGATCGATGTTTTGATTAAGAATGTTTTGGTTGAGACATGATGGTTGACAACTTAGACATTGTTAGTTTATGATTGGTGGATGTTTTTTTAATTTAAGAATCAATTAATAAATATATATTTCATTAATTAGTTTAAGGGATTTGATTTTTAGAGTGTATGTCCATTAATTTGGTCTCTATGATTTGATTGTAAAGGAGAATTCGTCTCATGCGACTGTCGAAATCAATTGACTTATTTTTTTAGTTATAAAACTAACTCATTGACATAATTTATTTTGTGTTGTTCACCAAATGATCCATTTAGTATGTATTAAGAAAAAATATTTTGTTTTTTATTGATCAACAATTTTTTTTTTTGCAATTTACGTATTAGCCATAGAGATAGTCTATTTGATTAATAATCGAATTACAGGATCTGAATCGAATAACGAATAACTGTAATCAAATCGAATTATTATAATTTATCTAAAACCGAACCCGAATTAAAACCGAACTGAATTAAAGAGTAACCGAAAAAACTGTAAATTTCTTCAAGAAAATGAATATTTTTTTTATCATAACCGAAATTCAAACCAAACCGAATTCAATATAAAAACTGAATAATTATAATTTTTTTAAAATCGAAATAGGTTAATCCGAACTGTAACTCCATTAAGCCATCCCTAATTAGACGGACAAAATTGATACCTCGAGGCCGGCGACATCGGAATAAATATTTCTCAATTTACGTGTTAATTGGAAAAACATTCCCGATTTTGTTTTTTAATTTCTATACGAACCAAAAGGGCTCAAGGCTTGAGCATCCTTTTGCCTATAAAAAGCCCATGAAGATTATCAACCGTTGATGAAGACTTTGATCAAGAAGATTCCAAACCCTATCACGCAAAACCTTTTTGACGGCGTCATAGCCGTTACGGTCAACGAGATATGGACTCTGAAACCTTCCTGACTCCGTTAACGCCGTCAGTTCTGATAAACCATTTTCGTTTTTCTTTTTAAAAAAAGGAACACTCTAGAAGAACCCAGCCTTATAATCACACTTCGTTTCACGCTCTTCGCAAACTCCGTCTCTCTGATTCTCTCTCTAGATTTTGTTTCTCTCTCTAGCTTCAGCGATTTGATTTGGAGATGGACGACGATTTTCAGATGCCACCGGTCGGTGGGATGAACGGCGAGGAGTTGGATTTCGGCGGCGATGATGTTCCGATCCTAAAGGTCGGAGAGGAGAAGGAGATCGAGCAAGGGTTGAAGAAGAAGCTCGCTAAGGAAGGTGAAGGATATGAAACTCCCGAAAATGGCGATGAAGTTGAAGGTACTGATTCCAGTTATTTTGTTCGTTGCTTCGCTTGTTTGCCGAAGCTGAGGTTTAATCCAGTTCTGTGTTGGGAAAATGAATTTCTCTTCTGCAGTGCATTACACGGGGACACTGATGGATGGGACGAAGTTCGATTCTAGTCGTGACAGGGGAACTCCTTTCAAATTCACTCTCGGGCAAGGTGCGTGAAGTTTCTTTTCCGGGTTTTTTTAGGGAAATTGTTTAGATTCAATGTATTTGGATGTGTGGTGATTGAAAGAGCCGGAACAGATTTGAAGTGTATGTTTTCATCATCTGCTTGGGACAATCTTAAAGATGTCTAATCTCTTGGAAAGTGGTCGGGTGAAACTGTAATGTTGATTTGGCTGCACACTATGAATTGCCAAGTCTCTTCCGAAATGTGGTTGTTTAGTTTTAGCCTGTGGTTTTGGCGAAAATCGATCTTTTGAAGTGCTATTTTTTGGGTAAATCTGTTTTGCTATTGTCTGAGGCGGGTATTTTTCTGCTTGCAGGTCAGGTAATCAAAGGATGGGATATCGGTATCAAAACAATGAAAAAGGGTGAAAATGCGGTATTCACCATCCCTCCAGAGCTAGCATACGGTGAATCTGGCTCACCACCAACCATCCCTGCGAATGCCACACTTCAGTTTGATGTGGAACTGCTCTCTTGGGTTAGTGTCAAGGACATCTGCAAGGATGGTGGCGTGTTCAAGAAAATTCTTGCTGAAGGAGAGAAATGGGAAAATCCAAAGGACCCTGATGAAGTTCTTGGTGCTGCACCCTAACCCTTTAGTATTTTATACCTCAGTGCTTAACAGTCCTTGATTTTCTCTAATGGTGTTTCCACTCTTTTGGCGATTCAGTTAAGTACAAGGCTCGTCTTGAGGATGGCACAGTCGTTGCCAAGTCTGATGGTGTAGAATTCACTGTGAAAGATGGTTAGTTTTCTGATTTCTTCTACGGGGAGATGATGACTTTACTGGTTCTATTTCTTGGTATTGAACCCTCATTGCGTTTTGTGTCTTGAATAGGTCATTTTTGCCTTGCCTTTGCTAAGGCTGTCAAAACTATGAAAAAGGGGGAAAAGGTTCTTCTGACAGTTAAACCACAGTGTATGTTAACTATCTCATTCATTATCTTGTTCATTGAGTTTGGATGGGTATGTACGCGGCCTCTAATTCCAATTTGCTTATCAATGAGACAGATGGTTTTGGGGAGAAGGGCAAGCCAGCCTCTGGTGATGATGGAGCGGTTCCACCAAATGCAACGCTTGAGATCGATCTGGAGTTGGTTTCATGGAAAACCGTGTCTGAGATAACAGATGATAAGAAGGTTATGAAGAAAATCCTCAAGGAAGGGGAAGGATATGAGCGACCTAACGAGGGGGCGACTGTGAGAGGTTTGCATTTCGAATTTCAGACACTGATTTACATCCATCACATCTGAAATTTCGATTTTTATGGATCCTTTTTGGGTTTTCTGCTGGCAGTGAAATTGATTGGAAAGCTTCAAGATGGTACTGTGTTCTTGAAGAAAGGCCATGGTGAAGATGAGGAGCCCTTTGAGTTCAAAACAGATGAAGGTAAAGTGCGCCACTCTAAATTTCCTAGAAACTTTCCTGTGTTAAGCTTCGGACTCTTCCTGCTGTCTGTAATCATGGAGACTGATTTGGATGGAAACTCGAACAGAGCAAGTGATTGATGGACTTGATAGAGCTGTGATGAAGATGAAGAAGGGTGAGGTCGCCCTGGTGACCATAGAACCAGAGTATGCCTTTGGTTCTTCAGAATCAAAACAGGAATTGGCAGTGGTCCCACCAAACTCGACCGTTTATTATGAGGTTGAGCTTCTGTCCTTTGACAAGGTTAGTGCAGTTTCTGTTCTTTTTTCCCCTCTCCTTTTTTTTCTTTGCTTAAGTCGAATACTGTGTACAAGAATCTGACGGCATGATTGCTACTGAGTTTTCAGGAGAGGGAGTCATGGGACATGAACACTGAGGAGAAGATCGAAGCAGCTGGTAAGAAGAAGGAAGAGGGAAATGCACTGTTTAAAGCTGGCAAATATGCCCGGGCTTCCACACGATATGAGAAGGTAAATATCTCGATCCCTGCAGTGTCAGTGTATGAGTGCGTTAAACGCAATCCTCTCATCTGTTGAATTTCTTGTCAGGCTGTCAAATTCATCGAGTACGATTCATCCTTCAGCGAGGACGAGAAAAAACAAGCGAAAGCGTTAAAGGTGACATGCAATCTCAACAACGCAGCTTGCAAACTGAAGCTGAAAGATTACAAGCAAGCCGAGAAGCTATGCACTAAGGTAATAGAATCATGATTTTGCATTCTCCTTTTTGTTTGGGGTCTGCAAAACAATGAAATAGTGTATTTGTTTGTTGTGTGTATAATAAAATAGGTGTTAGAACAAGAGAGCACAAACGTTAAGGCTCTGTACAGGAGGTCTCAGGCTTACATCGAGTTAGCAGACTTGGACTTGGCCGAGTTCGATATCAAGAAGGCCCTCGAAATCGATCCCAACAACAGGTCTCTCTCTCTCTCTCTCTCTCTCTCTCTCTCTCTTATTATTACATGGTTATGTTCCCTTTTGATGGTAAAGCAATCCATGTATATAATAAAGATGGGGAGTGACTATTCCTGGATAAAGATATTCTAGATCATTGAGAGGGTCGTGCTGATTTCACATGATTTACTAGCTTTGCCTCTTTTACTGGCTTATAAACCCAGAACTCACCATGTGCACCATGTAACCAAGACAAGCATCTGTCCTGTCCTGTCAAAGAAGAAGATGGAAATCGTCAATTTTCTTTAAGCTGAAATCAAACCTGCCTATAGCTGCACTGTCCATCAAGGCTTGCTGTATTGTTTATTGTTCTGACCATTTTTTTTTCCCCCTGCGGTAACAGGGAAGTGAAGCTCGAGTACAGACGCTTGAAGGAGAAAATGAAGGAATACAATAAAAAAGAGGCCAAACTCTACGGGAACATGTTCGCAAAACTCAAATGTAAGCCTCTGCTCCAAGAAACAAGAGAAATTAATGGGTAGTCAAACGCGTTCGGTTTAATCGTGTTTAGATAAAAAATCGGATAATCTCGAATGTTTTGAAATGTGCAGAAAGGGAGCTTCAATGGGATGGCATGGGCTTTTAGGACCGTGGGCGAGTCTGAGTGTCGTGCTTGTTCGGAATGTTGTCGGGGTTTTCTTTTGTAGGTGAGGTTTTCGTATATTACAGCGATGGACGCCAAATAATATATGTTTGCATCGCCCATTTGGACTTTTTGTCTAACGGAGGATTAGCTATGACTATACTATATTTCATTTTTCTGTTTCCTTAAACTGCGTATTATTATACAACGTCCATGACTTGTCTCTCACTTTATCATTATATACGTGTATATACATATATATATATATATGATATTGAAATTATTCTTTGTATCAATAGAAAAAAAAAAGTGTTTAATTCGGCATCACTATCAAAACATCTCTTACTATGACTACCTGCATAAATTAAATTGAACGTGATCTAAAAATTTGATTTGCTATATTTAAACTAAATTAATATATTAACCGAAACAGAATTTAATATAAAACAAAAAAATACATGAAAGTAAGTCTAATTTGTGTGTAGTAAACTTAATTTAGATTTTTTTATATATATATTTTTTGGTATGATGTAAATGATTGACGATACATACAATCCTATGCAAGCCGTTTTTATTTGTTTACAAAGTAATTTTTATAACTTCTAAATTATCCTTAATCCAATTATATTAATTTATTTATTTTTTGGATAAACTATTGTACATGCATGTGCATGCCACCCTCGTATAGCTTTTTATAAATTTTCAACAAAGAAATTTAACTCTGCGAGGCACATCCGTATGGGCTCAGAGAATGTAAATTTAATCCATGTGATATTTACCCAAATAGGCCCACAAATAGAAGACCCATCAACATGTCAGAAAATGTAAATGTTCACATAATAATCATGGCCCATTAGGCCCACAACGGGAAGGCCCAATAAGTCTTCCCCCTCGCTTTTTTACTTTCAAAGGCTTCTAGAAGACCCTCGCCTCCGACGCGGTTCAAATTCCACAACCGCTTACCATGTCACCGATGACGTAAGCCCCCAGAATACGACACGTGTCGAGTTGACAGACCACGAGAGGCATGCTTCGCGGAGCCAACGAAGCATCTTTCGTAGCCCGATAAGGGCACAGCGGTAAATTCAGAAGGACGAATCTCCTTTGTTTCAAAATCTTCCCCGGCAAGGCAAAAATGTGACAGCCCCAGCATATGCTTTATTCGCCTTATAAAAGTGGCCGACAAATACGGAAGAGGAGAGAGAGAGGGAAGAAAAAACGAAGTGGAAGCTTTTGCACCGAGAAAAATGGAGGTCAAGCTTCCAAAAGCAGACGTCACGAGATTCCCCTTGATGACCGACGGTGATTACCACTACAACCACCGCGACCCGCCGCAGCCTCGCCTGAGCCAGGTCCCGAACCTCGCCTTCGATCGGTTGAATGTTGTATCGGCGTTGGGCCGAGGTGCTAAAGGAGTGGTGTTCCTGGTGAGAGACGGAATCGGAGATCGAGATTCGAGCGATGAAGTTTCCGGCGAATCTCTGGCTTTGAAGGTTGTACTGAGGGAATCGATCGAGAAGAAGAATAAGAAGCAGAGAGAGAGTGAAAATGGAGACGGAGACGAGTACAGGCGCGTGAGTTTTGAGCAGGGAGTGTTGAGCCGATTTGAGCATCCTCTGTTTCCGAGACTCCGCGGCGTTTTGGCGACGGACAAAGTCGTCGGTTACGCGATCGATTATTGCCCTGGACGGGATCTCAATTCGTTGAGGAAGAATCAGACGGAGAAAATGTTTTCCGACGAGATAATCAGGTGATTGATCCGAACTACGTCTTCTACAATTTGAATTTTCTGTTTCCTTTTCTTTCTTGGTATAACATCGATTTGATCATGTCTTGTTTCCAGATTTTACGCAGCCGAAATGGTACTCGCATTGGAGTATCTGCACAATCAAGGAATCGTCTACAGAGATTTGAAGCCGGACAACGTGATGATCCAAGAGAACGGCCACATAATGCTCGTCGATTTCGATCTCTCCACTAAACTGCCTCCGAGAACGCCGCAACAGTCTCCGGCATCCACCGCGAAACCACCGACGGCGAAGAAGACGAGGAAACGGTTCCTCCCTTTCCGCAGATGCTGCAACTCAGGGATCTCACCGGACGAGTCGGTACGCGGCAGCGACTCGGCGTTGACAAGCGAGTCCGACTCGTCGGGAGAGAAGTCGAACTCTTTCGTCGGAACAGAGGAGTACGTAGCTCCGGAGGTAATCTCCGGCGAAGGCCACGACTTCGCCGTCGACTGGTGGTCGCTCGGAGTGGTTCTGTACGAGATGCTGTACGGAACGACGCCGTTTAGAGGGTCGAACAGGAAGGAAACGTTTTATCGGATATTGACCAAATCGCCAGATCTGGTGGGCGAAACGACGTCGTTGAGGGGACTCATCAGAAGTTTGCTGGAGAAGGATCCTAGCCGTCGGATCACGGTCGAGGGAATCAAGGGCCACGATTTCTTTAGCGGATTGAGTTGGAATCTCTTGCTTAGGGTATCTAGGCCGCCGTATATTCCGTCGCCGGAAAACGAAGGGGGCGAGGGCAAAGATGGAATTATGAAAATCGACGTGGAGAATTTCGTCCAAGAAATATTTTGTGCTCGAGAGGAGATAAAAGAAAAAAACGAGGCAAGGGTCAAAGGGCTGAGTAATGAATTTTTGGTATTCTAATTAATTTATTCAATTTCAAATAAATATTTTTTTGGGTAAGTAATTGAAGTCGTATCGTGTTTTTTTCTATCTTTGCCACTTGGAAAAAAAAGAAAGTAAGATACGAACAATTGAAATAAATTACAATATTCTAACACTTTGAATCAATTCTTTTGATTTTTCTCTTTCTTTTCTTTGATTTGAATTGCCAAGGGAATATTGCCCATGCCTAATTCCCACTTGTTTCAAATAATATATATATATATATTTTAATAATACATATCTGATCGAAAAATAAATTTTTTTATAATGTTAAAATTCATCATTCTTTTGATCCAATTATATTTTAGAGAAAAATTAAAGAAGTTTGGAAAATACTCTTCTTCATATTTGGATTTGAACTCGAGGTAACAAATAATAGATTAATAAAATGAAATGTAAATATTGTTAGATAGTGGAAATTCACGAAGTGTTAATTCGATTATGAAAATATCTAAATAAATGTCAATTTTTTTTGAGAAATTAGTTGTGGAACTTTTAGGTGATATTGATGATAGATGAACTGTAAGCAGCTAATTTCAAAACAAATTCTGTGTCATTTATTCTCCCACAACTAGCCTTAATTTTTCTTTTTTTTTTACCCATTTGATCATGGATTTCCACTTCTTTAACCGTCGGGGATTGTGTTTTTGTAAACAATCGGGAATTGTATTTTGTAAAATTTCCAATTTAAGGTAAATATCATAATCACATTCATACAAAAAAAAAATTCAAAACAAATTTCTCTCTAAAATCTATATAAATGAATAAAAACAAGCATTATTCCAAAAAAATAAGAAATATCTAATTATTGTTAATAATTTTTGTATAATTTATATAATTTCTATTTTTTTTTACACAAGTATGATATGATATAATCGAAAGAATAGACAGTAGAATTCTGGATATTAGCAATTATCATAAGCAAGAAAAAAGGAGGCAACTAACAACTACTTCTAAGTTTTAATTAAACATTCAAAAGATTAGCTAACTATGAAAAGGACTATACCCAATTCATTTTAAAATTATAAGAGAGGGGATATAAAATAAAATAAAAACCCAAAATTCAATTATTAAAATACATACTCTCAAATTTTAGAGAAAAAATGGGAAAAAAACAGAGAAAGTGGGGTTATAAATCACATGAAACAGAGAGTTGCTGTCTGCTGTCAGAGACAAACCCACAAAAAGGCCATTGCAGAGAACATGAAATGATAAAAGGCATCAAACATCAAAACCCCCAAGAATTTTGTGACCAATAATCATCATTCTTCTCAACTGTTTTTTGGCTGTGCGTGAGAACAGAACCCTCTCTTTCACTTAGAGGGACAGCTGGGAAGTGTAGTCATTGGACCACAACATCTTCCAACCACTTCTTTTGTCCCCCCCCCCTTTTCTCTTAGTATATTTTTTCTTCCCCCTCCTTTTTTTTGTTCTTATTTTAATTTTTTATTATTATTACGATCCCTACACACAAATCATAGCATTTTTAATGCTTCCATCTTTGTTTTGTATGAGTTATTTGCATGTGTGGGTGGGGGTAGGGGCCAATATCTTTCGGCCTAGATGTGTAAGATCATGATTAATATGTACTTATATGGAAATTGAATTCAATTTTCAATTTTAAAAGTTTAATCTGTCGGTTACAAATTTTTTTTTAATGGATTAATCAAATTAGAATCCAATATAAAAATAATCATAAAAACAAATGAAAACGAAATATTTTTACAAAACGAAGAATTATTCATATTAAAAATCAAGTTGAACCAAATCTAAATAAAACCAAAACCAAATATAAAAAAAAATAGATAATCCCAAAATGATAAAAAAAATTATAATAGAACTGAAAAAGAAAACTTATTTGTGTTTGTTTGTTTACTACAACCGAATAAAATGATTTTTTGCGCTTTCTTTTTTAGTGACCCCTTACATATCGATATATATACACACACACTGTTGGATCCATATTGTCATCAGTGGGGCACATCATATCCCTAGTCACTATCATGATACGCAAATAAATGCCTACGCTTGAAATTTTTTCAAGATCCGTTAGTGTGTGTATATATATATATATCAATATATATCAATTTGGTGTTGTTGGGTTTTGGCAAAAATCGATCTTTTGAAGTGCTATTTTTTTTTTGGGTAAATAGACTAAGTAATTAGTGACATGACGCTTTTCGATTATATAAGGTCATGTAAAAATTTGGAAATTTTTTGTTAATTGAACATTTTTTAAGAGATTAAAATTCATTTACTTTTATTTCTATTTTTTTAAAATAAATTCATGTATTTGTATGAGAATTTTCATAAAAAAAATGTGTATGATTTTTTTTTAAATTTTGTTGATGTGGTGGACGACTGACGTGACGTCTTTGCATATGTATCCGTGAATTAACGCTCGTATATATAATATACTAATATACCACATCACCTATCACATTCGTTAAAGTTATAGGGTAATATAACAATATTTTCAAATTTCATTTATTATTTTAGTACCTATCAAGTTTATATTTATTTACAAAGTTTGTTATTTGTTATTATCTTCATGTAATGTAGTGATGTAAATGGGCCGGTTCGGACCAGATCGGATCAACTCATTTCGAGCCCATCTTTTTTTAGTTCAGATCGTTAAACCCATTTTTATTCGGATCAGGAATATCACGGTTCGGCCCAAACCGCGCTATTTCGCAAGCCAGCTCGCGAGCTAAATAAAAATAAAAAATTAAATATAATTAAAAAATATTAAGATAATAATAAAAATAATAATTAATATATTTTAAAATAAAAAAAAATATTTAAAATTGATAAATCTTTTTTAAAATTATTAAAAAATATTAAAAAATAAAACTAAATTATTTTTCTGGCTTTTGTACTAGGGTTCGGACCAGATCGGATCAACTCATTTCGAGCCCATCTTTTTTTAGTTCAGATCGTTAAACCCATTTTTATTCGGATCAGGAATATCACGGTTCGGCCCAAACCGCGCTATTTCGCAAGCCAGCTCGCGAGCTAAATAAAAATAAAAAATTAAATATAATTAAAAAATATTAAGATAATAATAAAAATAATAATTAATATATTTTAAAATAAAAAAAAATATTTAAAATTGATAAATCTTTTTTAAAATTATTAAAAAATATTAAAAAATAAAACTAAATTATTTTTCTGGCTTGCGAACTAGCTCATGGATTTGCCGAATTAGCTCGCGATGAGCTCGGCTCGTGACGAACTAGCTCGTTTAGTCCATTTTTTTTCGGATTCAAATTTTTTAGTCCAGATCGAAAAAATATAGGCTGACTTGCGTTGTGATTTCTGAGCCGAATTCATTTTAACATAGTAATGTGATATATATATTACTTGTCTGAAAGTATATAACACCTAAAATAACTAATTGCAAGTGGGACCGATGGAGAGAGGCCGAATATTTAAGAATTGGCTTCTTTTTCCTAAAATTTAAAAAATACCCTACCCCTCCCCCCAAAAAAATGTTACATAATTTAAGGTTATATCAAATCAAATAATGACATAATGCATATGCATAGTTTTACAAAAGCTGAGATATGATAAACTAACTATAACTATTAATAGGGTTCTCATTAGTCGGAAAAAATGTTGACATTTAATATATATAGCTAATTATGATTATTTTTTATAATTGAAAAATTCACCTAATTTTTGGTCTAATTATATCTCCCAAAAGATCGAGAAAGTCTATGTTAATATTCCTTTCCAAGTGAGTATCCGAACCCAGGAGGAGCAATCTTGGATAATTAAATATGATATTAGTATTGTCCTAAAGCAAAACCTTTTGTTAGAAAGTGACTTAATAAAAAATAAGCATATTCTACATGACCAGGTCAAAATATATATACATATATGTGTGTGTACATATCGGTCATTTCTTTATTATTTTTGAGGCTTTAGATAATGTTTTTGTTCATCATCCAACGAGTCAATGGTTTGAATTGTTTTTGTTAGAATGAATAGAGATAATATATATATATATATATACACACGCGAGGGAATAAACATATGTTACGGTCGTAAGTTTTGACTAATTCCAAAGCCATTTCAAGGCCAATGCAGACCCGGCGGCGGGAGAATAAACACATCGAATGCTCATTCAGCTCCTCAATCTGGCCCCGTTTCGCTTCTCGCCCCGAGGCAGAGCCGCCTCCAACTGCACCACCACATGTCTGGCTGGATTGAATCAACCGGCCAAGGAAACAACCAAACCCGAAGAACCTTGGCAGCGATCACTCTCCAGACAACTATGGCGGGAGGGAGAGAAATGACAGGATCTTCCGCTCCCGCCATCTGTTCGTGGTCGAGCTCAAACAGAAACTCGACCGGCTTATTCGGAACATCATCATGGTTGGTCAATCCGGCCCCAGCAACAGGAAAACATCCTTGTAAAAGACTTGGTTTTATCTAACAGACCATCTTGACTAATGTAGGAACAACTACTAATGAGAATCGGTTCGTAAGTTCAAAACTAAATTGAACCTATTTTATTATTTAGAATTAGAATCAGATTCAGTTAGGTAATATCACGTGTAATATCGTAACTGATATACAATAATTTTATTTTGCAGTGTTAATTTAGTTCTGGTTTTGGTTCAGTTGTCGGCCACTCGAAGGAACCGCTGATATTGGGGTGAATCTGATCACTTTTAAAAGTTAAAGGCATAATCGACAAACACTGAAGAATCTTATTCCTAAATAGGAAAAACGATTTTTATTTTAAATCCTTGTGTGATCTTCTTTTTCCTCACTTCCAACGCCTAGTCCAGAATATTACTCAAATAACCTATTTTTGTCGCAGCAATTTCAATGTACATCACCAAAAAATTTTTTTTTTTTTTTTTCAATTTTAACCCATTTTTCGGTTGAAAAAGTCCGAAATACCCTTTTCGTTTTATTTTTTGCGACCTTATTACGACTAACAATATACAACTAAAATAAGACAGATAATTTTTTTGCCACCTTTTTTAGAATCAATTGTAACTATATTTAGAATTAATTACGAAGTCGTAATAACGAAGTTGTTTTCGAACGGATAAAAATCACGTATTCATTAAGGGTAATTTCGTCTTTTCAACAAAAAAAAGTGTTATATTTTTTCTGGTGTACACGTGAAATAGGTGCGAGCCAAGTGGTTCATTTGAGTAAAATTCCCCGCCTAGTCGCCAACGCGCCGCCGCTTCTCCTCCGCCGTGGGATAAACGGGAAACTGCTCGTGGTATTCTCAGATGACAGTGCCTTCAATTTCGTTCGAAGCATTCGTTTACGGTTTAGAAATGTAATATTTGACGCGTTTTTCGCTGGCGTCTTATCCGTCGAATCTGGGTGAGTTTCTAGGTTTTCGCCGTCACGATGGAAGTGGAGAAGAAGGAGGAGGTGGAGTCTGAATCTTCGGAGCAGGTGGTTAATCCATGGGAAGTCTCTGCCAAGGACGGCGGCAAAATCGATTACGACAAGCTGATAGACAAGTTTGGTTGCCAGAGGCTCGACCAGTCGATGGTCGATCGTGTTCAGAGACTGACTTCTCGTCCTCCTCACGTCTTCCTCCGACGCGGCGTCTTCTTCGCTCACCGGTTTGTATTTCAGCTCGCTCCTGTTTTGCCGATTAACGTTTTCTTTTTGCATATACTGGGTTGTGTTGAAAATTTCTATCTTTGGTTGTTTCAATTGGGAGATTAGCGATTTCAATGAGATATTGGATGCGTATGAGAGAGGGGACAAGTTCTATCTGTACACGGGACGAGGACCTTCGTCGGAAGCTCTGCACTTGGGGCATTTGATTCCTTTCATGTTCACCAAGTGAGTTAATTTCATAACTGAAGCTGATGTTAGTACCTTAAGAATTAGGTTCCTGGGTAAATGCGAGGACGCTTCGATATGCATTGCAGATACTTACAAGAAGCTTTCAAGGTTCCCCTCGTTATACAGCTTACTGATGATGAGAAATGCATGTGGAAGAACTTATCAGTGGAAGAAAGCCACAGACTTGCCAGAGAAAATGCAAAAGATATCATTGCCTGTGGTTTCGATGTATCAAGGACTTTCATTTTCTCCGACTTTGATTACGTTGGTGGGTAAGTCATCACCTTCGAGTCTTTCAAAATCTGGATAGCTTTTTATCTTTTATTCTGCTGTCTTTGCTCATATGATACCTTCACATTGAACCCCGTTTAGCGTACGAGATGATCTTCTAGTTTACATCATACTTTATGTGGCTGATCGTTTGCAAAAAAACTTTTGTGCAGTGCTTTCTATAAAAATATGGTGAAGGTTGCCAAGTGTGTCACACTTAATAAGGTACCTATCTTTTACAGTTTTACTTCTCCTTGGATGGCATAATGTGGTACCAACTTTATAGTCCTGATTTTCATCCGATAATTTGTGCTAGGCTATGGGGATCTTTGGTTTTACGGGTGAAGATCATATTGGAAAAATCAGTTTCCCTCCTGTGCAGGTATGTCCTTTTCCACATAGGTCCGTCCGATACCTGTAAATATGTAACAATTGTGCCGATGCTATAAAGGATGCAATCTCTCATAGGTGGGCTGTCATAGCACGCTTAGCTTCTTTCTTAATGGATTAATGCTTTCCATACAAAAAATGCTTCTTTTGAGCAGCGCCTGTCCTAAATTGTTTGATTTTATGAATTGCAGTTAAGTTGAGTATGTCATACCTTTATTAATATATTATTTCAGGCAGTTCCGTCTTTTCCAAGTTCTTTCCCGCATCTGTTCACTGGAGAGGAAAATCTCCGTTGCTTGATTCCTTGTGCTATTGATCAGGTGTGCCGTCTTTTTCAATTGGATCTTAACCAGTTTGTTTTTTGGAGGGCGTAACTTCTCAATGGAATTCATAAAATTTTGGGCTGTGAACCTGAGACATATGTATCAATTTGTTATGTGATTCTTTGCTGTTGCTGTGTTTCCAACGTTGGTTTCGCCGTATAACATGCCATCCTGAGATATTGGATGTGTGATTTACATGTTTGTATCAATTTCTATGTTTGGTTTGTTCAGGATCCATATTTTAGAATGACCCGTGATGTTGCCCCTCGGATAGGCTATAACAAGCCCGCCCTGATTGAGTCGTCATTTTTTCCAGCATTGCAGGCAAGCACTTTCTTAAGAATTGTCTAGTATCGGTACAATTGATAGAGATGTATATGTACCATGTATTTTTTTTTTCCCTTTTTTGTTTCTGAAAGATGAATGCTCAATAATCCCTTTTTGACAGGGAGAGAATGGAAAAATGTCTGCTAGTGATCCAAATTCTGCTATCTACGTGACCGATACTGCAAAGGACATAAAAAACAAGGTGATTTCTGAAACTTTTAATTTTTACCAACTTTGTTTCATTACATCTATGTTAGCATATCCGTTCTGGTTTCTGGCAACAACCCTGTGTTACACATATGCACTAATACCCATTTTTCCTGTTTGTGTGTGTGTTCTTCCAATCATTCGGCCCCACCAGAAAATTAAGATCTTTAGAACTGTGAGGACAGGGTATTGGAATGGAAAAGAAAGAATAAGCAACTTTGATGACTGATGAGAGCACCCGAATTTTAAAAAAATTAGATACATATGCTACTCGTACTAAGGAATGTACATAACTGCAGTCCTGTTTCCTGATTTGGCTTAGCTTCTATGAGCAGATAAATAGATACGCGTTTAGTGGTGGGCAAGACTCCATTGAGAAGCACAGACAACTTGGAGCAAACCTCGAGGTACCAAATGCCTTGTCCCTCCTTCTCGACTTATTCTGTGTTAGTAGTTTTGATTCTGCTTTTGTGTTCCTGCCACGGTCATAACCAGAATTGTGAGTTAACTAAAGAACAGTATGAGAGGTAGTTTTTTCGAGTTTAGGTACCGAAATCCATATTTTATTGGGAAACTATCAACCTCTACCTCGTATAGGAAAGATTTTAACACAGAACTCGATTGAAGCAACTAAAGGCTATGCTTGAAGATCATGTTGTATGCCGTTCACTTGTGTTTTTGTCTCATAATGGAGACCATTAAACACTGATTGCAGATTCATTTTAAACTGTTTTCTTGATACCTAATGCAAGTGATCTAGTGGCACTCATAATCAAATTTCTACATTTACAGGTAGACATTCCCGTAAAGTATCTGACTTTCTTCCTAGAAGATGATTCTGAGCTTGAACACATAAAGAAGGTATGATGCTACTTGTGTATCATAGATTATTGTGAAGGAAAAACTTACGTTAAGTAAACCCGCTCTCTGCCATACCAAGCTGACTAAAGGGTTACAATTAAACATAAATCAGTTATATTTCTTATGTTAATTATACCAAACCTTTTGTAAAAAGTAACACAATCTGAGTGGCTCAGGAGTATGGAGCAGGAAGAATGCTAACCGGCGAAGTAAAGAAGAGGCTCATCGAAGTTTTGACAGAAATGGTGGAGAGACATCGCAGGGCTCGAGCTGCGGTGACTGACGAGGTAAAACCCTTAGGGTTCAATCCTTAAGCAAAGATAGGATCTTTGAACAGATGATTAGTAGCAGCATATTCACTGTGATATATTCTGCAGATTATCATATATGTCTCTAAAACTGACCCCCCAAAAAAAAACAATTCTGCATTCTGAGTTTCAGATGGTGGATGCGTTCATGGCGGTGAGACCTCTTCCAAGCATGTTCAACTGAACTCGGAAGAGAGCCATTTGGTTTCAAGATTACGTCAAACATTTGATCTTTACATTTTGTAAGGTGTTTCAGACAAAAGTCAAGTCACATTGTACTTCTGCCTTCTGGGTTCTGATGGTGTTACAGATGATGATGCTTTTACTTGCTCCTGGCTTAGTTCATTTAATCAAAGATTCGGGTCTTCATACATACAATACAAATTCGTATTGTTTCTTTATATATTTATTTTTATATACAAACAAATGCTACACAAAATCTATGTTTGGCCTTTTGTCGGGGACGGCAGCTGTACGGATTGCCATGCGCGCATGACAGATGCAGTAACAACTCCTCTCTTTGCATACTCTAAAGAGTAAAGAAACATATGCTCTGATAGAAAATGATTATGACGAGAAAAACAAAGGGATCCGATGGACATCCTCCTAACAAATGGGTTCTTCTCCTATCCCCATGAAAGACACAGAAAGCAAAGCAGATACACAAAAACCCTAAACCGGTGGATTTGGGTTTCTGTTTCTGACATTAAAAAACGATTACTACAGCCACGCCTACGGTTCCTCTGAAAAGAAAGTCTGTTTATCATTATTATTAGTAGCCGTAGCCAGAGCCATAATCAGGAGCATAGCCACCGGGTGGAGGGTTTGTGGCCGGAGATGCGTAAACGGAGCTGTGGGTGGCGTATGGATTATAAGCTTGCTCTGCCGTCACAGCTGGCTGCTGTGCTTGCGCTGACGCTCCTGCTTCCGCCATGAAATTCTGCACCATTAATGAGGGGAAAAAACCATAAACAGCTTGGTGGTGGAATCAATCAGATTCATCATCATCGCCATCATAGCATATATGCTTTTATTAAGATGGTTATGTAACCAATCAATCACCTGGACAAGCTGCTGAGCGGTTTGAACTTGTGAAGCAGTACCGCTGATCTCAACGGTCATTTCACCAGGCACTCCCCTTGTTTCCTGAATGGTTACTGTTGCTCCACTCGCCCGTCTTATGTAGCTTATGCTTGAACCTGATGTCCCGATAACTGCGTCAGCGTACGAGAGGGGAATCTGCATTTGCTGTGTCACCTGCTGAAAACCCGGGCAAAAAACTGTCTTTCTTCCATTTCTACATGAGAATAGAACTGCTGTGAAGTACAAGGAAGAAGGCAGTAGTAGTAGCTGACCTGAGTGACCATAGAGGGTGCTGATGAAACATGCACATTCATTGGAGGCTCCCTTCCGTACGCAGATATACCTTGATGAGGCTGTTTCTCCATAGGAGGAGGTCGCATTTCGGGAGGGTAGTAATTGTCAACGTGCCTCGGAGGCGGTGGCATATACGGAGGAGGGTTGTGCCCATAACCACCTGGACCCCCACCAGCATTCAAAGGAGGACCTTGAGGTGGACCCCACGGCTGGTGCTGAGGCATATGATCCATCTGCCGTGTCGGCTTCTGCATCTGTTTTGTAAGAGAACAGTTACATCAACAAGAGTCCATATATCCGTCGTTCATACGGATAAAAAGTGGTGGCCAGAGCTGTAGGTGACCTGATTTTCGAACAATGGGATAATGCTACGATCCACCAAAAACTTTCGGAGATGCAATCCGATCAGCTCCAGGGCTTTATGCACGCTTGATGGTTCGCCCACAACTTCAACCACCCTATCGTCTTGAAGAGCAAAGACAGGCAAATCCTCTACAGAAATCCAATTCACAATGCTTAATGAAGAGAAGTAGCCCCAACAAAAGAAAGATGGTGGAACTATATGGTCGGGCGAAGCTTAGAGGCAATATTTGAACATAAATAATGTCAAAACCACAAAGTAAGCATCGATTTTGATTCTAGAAAAATTCAGACTAGAATTGCTAAAGAAAATCAGAGTGTTAATATTAGGAAACAACTCAAAAGAGGTTTGATTGGATATAATAACCAATCCTTCTAATGCAAAACACTTGTATACCTAAGCTCTCAGATGCAGCAATAAAGTCACGAAGAAAAAAGGAATCACTGCTGATAACAACAGTTTGATTTAAAACCGCGTTTCCGCCACTCCATGTTCAATATAGGAAATTATCAGTATCAAGTCACGTGACAGAAATAGTCCACAGACGACAGAAACCAAAAAACAATACAAGTATGAGAGACTTCAAAAGGCGAAAAAATTGAGAAAAATATGTTAGGTTAAGAAGGAGACCTGAACCAAGAACTCTGACAACACAACCAGAAGCTTCTTGAATAGCTTTAACGGTTGCTCCCTGTTTCCCTATCAAACTTCCAGCCTGAGCTGCTGGGACTAGTAGCCTTGTTGAGACCTTAGAAGGTGGTGGGGCTTGAGAAGGATCACCATCCAAACCATCAACAATCCTTCTGTGGACTCTCAAAAGGCCATCCATTGCTGGAGGTAATGACGAATCGGGTTCTTCTTTAGCAGAGACCATAACCTGCAGACAAAAACATACAAGTAGACAAGATGACTCGACGAAAAAAGCTTGGGACTTGTTATCTTAATCTCTGCAGTTATCGTCGCATATGATGGGATATTTCTCAAAAGCATCAGACAAATCTACTAAAGAAGAACAATCTTATACGCAATTCAACCAGTTAGATGTTTATTTCTTTGTTGTACCCTTAATCAGAAGATTTTGCCCACAATGAATAGGTCATATACTAAGCCGAAGATTGCCCACAATGAGTAGCCATAGGCAATCTTCGAGACATTATAGAAGTTTTTAAAGAAATCTTAGGTTGATTCCCCACTTGGTAGACGGATGATTATCGTTTAATTGTTGCTCCATGTAGAACATAAGTCAAAAAACTCATTGTCCACATAGCGTAAGACCCAGTTAAGCAGGTTCCAGCATGCTGCAGAAAGTCTGTGGCAAGACATCAATCATCCAGGTACTGAAGTTACCCGAGAAAGTGCAGCGCTTCATCAAACTGATGTTTGTGCAAGAAGGATATTCCCTATTCAGATAAACCTTATCACTTTGTAATGCTCAAGGCTGATTCTTTCCATCTGGCTTTGATTCTTCATTGGGGACCTTACCCGTGATTGATTCTTTTGCCATATAACTTGCAAGATGGAACCTGCACACATTCATGGCCGTCACAGCAATAAAGGGAACTGTACTCATATCTTATCAATTTCCTTGATTATCTTCCTCCTTTCACTTGACGAAACTGATAAGTATGAGCCTACCCATCACCATACTTTGACAGTGTGCTAATTAAGTTCCTAAGATCTTTCAAAATAATACAGTAAACAGTTTTCCAAGACTTTCGTAAAATACAGAATCTTAACACAGCAATTTTCAGAGGTGAAGAGTGTTATCAATATTTATGAGTTAAAAAATTTCTGGACCTTTTCTTGAAATTTTTACACGAATTATAAAGCAATTAAGGGAATTCTATTACTTGAGGTTGCCTACCTAAATGATTTAGGTTAATTACCAATAATATATGTATTCCACTATATCACCTCTTTTATCAAGAGGTTTTTAGTTTTGTTTTCAAAACCGTTATCTGATTCGTAGCTGCAACACACATGCAATATATCATATATTCATATGTGCACCCAAGACCAATTAAGCAGAAAATTGTAAAGATAATCCACAGGAAAAAGCATATTATATCTTCTGAAAATATTTGTGCCACAACATTGTAGGAACCTGTACCAATAATTGTCTAGAAAAAATATATATTTTAAAACAAAAATACCAATTAATAGAAAGCAAAGAAATGTATAAGCTAAAAGTAAGTGACAGAGTCTCATCTTCTAAATAACACAAAATGTAAGGGCAGGAAAAAGATAAAAGACTTACAGCTCTTTCTGTTGTGCCAGGAGGACCATCCAGAATCTTAATCCGAGCCCGTGTCTCCTCAACTATTTTCTTAATGACATCCCCTTTACGCCCAATGATGCTGCCAACTTTCTGTGCAGGAACCAACATGCGAAACACAGTCTCTCCAGGCCATCCAGGCCACCTCTTCTCCTCACCCCCAACTACTGACCCACCATCATGCTCTGATCTCCGCTCAAACTCGACGTGCTCAGGAATG